ACAAATTGAGTATTTTGGTACTTTTGGTCTGCAAAAATAATTTGAAGTAATTTTCACTTTAGATTATCCTTTGATTTATAACTTAGATGACAACTTTATTTAAAATCTTTAGATCAAATCACAAACCATTAATATCATATCAAGGTTATTTTATTGTCTACCTTGCATTAGAATAATGTTTTCTATAATTGGGTACTTTGGCAAAAGTTGACACAAAAATTTTCAGCTTCTTCAGAAGCCACTTAGGAGACAGAACTCACATATTTAGGTCAATTGAATGATAAGCTGGCTGAACAGCTATTAGGCATGCATCAAACAAATTTTAGTACAAAGCGCTATGTTAGAGTTTGCTTCTGGGTGTTAGGGAAGAACTGTTACAGAATATGCAGGGCACAAAGAGCATGGGGGTTTCTTCCTCTCTGAATAAGCATGTGCCCATGGGGTGCTGCTGCCTGACTTTGCTCAGTGATTGTGGAGAATAATAGGGATGTAGTGCACATATCTCTCTTGGGTTCTTTTTGGCTATTGAATATAAGCCTAGAACTTCTTAGTGCTGTATGTTTTATGTCAGTTGGGCTTATTTCAACAGCAATGATTCTACACAATCCTTTGAACAGAATGCAAAGAATCAATCAAATCATACATTCTGGAGCCACAGTCTTTTTTGTTTAAATCATAGGTTTTCTTAGTTTTAGCTTTGGGGGCAAATAAGTCTCTGTGTTTCTGTTTCCTCAAATGTGGAAGAGAGATAAAAATGACAACAACCTCAAAGTATTTTCAAACAAATAAATGTATATATAAACAAAAATGTCCAACACAATGTCCAGTACCTAAGATCACACAGTAAATATTGTTATTATATGTATAGTGTATGATGAAGTTGGATAGGACTTTCACCACGGCCTCCTAAGAGACAGCCCTATTAACTCTTTTATTTTGTCCTTTCTAGAACAGTTTTCCATGTTTCTATGATCTATTCTGTGTTGATCGGCTCTATGCTGCAGGCTCCTAAAATCTATAGACTGTATCACTGGACTTCCTTGTCTTTAAGTTTCCCCATAGGGTTTCACCAATGGAAAACACTAGCAGATAATAGAGAAAATGGAGAGAACGGGAAATATATTATTGTCTCTCTTTCCAGGATTACAGTATTAGGCTGATTCCTCTGCCACAGATCCTGACTAAGGATCATATCCAGTGGTATGGTTCTTGAAACACTGCTTCTCTCCCTATATTTTGGGACTCTGAGGAAAGTCTTCTGTCACTGGTCCCTGGGTGCTTCAGCGTTCTTTGTTGGTTCTCTTAACTCTGTATATGCTTTTATATAGAATCTCTTTCTTCAGTTAAACACATTGAACATGTTGAATATGACATCGTTCTGTTTCGATAAATTAAATGTAAGATGAGGCCAAGAATGTATCATTAAAAACTTTTTTTTCAGACTCTCTAAAACATCCCCAAGAAGTTTCTGCTTTCCAGTTCTGAAGCACCTTCCTTCATCTATTTGTACATGCTTAATAAGATCAAGAAGCAGGGGGTTAACCATGAAATTTCAGAGGTTAAAAAAGTATCTTGTTTATGGAAAATTAATATTTTGATCCTCTTCCTCAATGTGCAGGAGAGGAAATTATTATTCTGCTATCTGTTGCTATATAACAATTCCCTCCAAAACGTAGTGGCACAAAACCAACCATTTCATTTGGATCACCATCCATGGATTGGCAATTTGTCCTGCCTTTCATAGGTGCCCTTCTCATGTTAACCTAGATATTATTCTCTGAGCTTAATCATAGTTCTAGAGCATTAACTGGAATAGCTTAGAGTCGCTCTTCATTTAAGTGTGAACTCTTATCCTCCAGGAGGCTAGTCAGACTTGTTCCTATGGTGGAGGAATGTTTCTTGTGGCAAGAGCAGAATCTATAGGTACTCCTGAGGTTCAGAACTTGCACAGATTACTTCTTTCATAGTCTATAGTATTAATGCAAATTAGCTCAGATTCACTCAAGGTACGAGAGAACAGAATTTTTGGTGGGAGAGGTTATAGAGAATGTGTGTCCATTTTTCAATCTACCCCAGTCCAAACTCCCAAAGTCAGGTGAAGGATTGCCAAAAGAAAGCAAACATTATTCACAAAACAGATGGGGGATATATTTTAGAAAACACAATTCTGCTTCTTTTCTCCCCTTAACTAGACGATTGCCAAGGTCTGGAATAAGTGATTGGTACTATTGTTATGATCGGAGTAGAACAGAGAGTAGTGAGAATATTTTTAGGGGGAAATATGACATTTCCTATGGACATGATTCTGGAGGCAGCTTTGACTAATGTTTAGGTACTGAAAGCTTTTATACTTATTAAAACAGCCGATGATGGTGAGTAAGAACAATGTGCAATAACACCGTGCTTCTAAAGAGGGAGGCTCTCTGGCAACTCCTCAGTTCTACCCCTCCCTACATTCCCCAAAACTCTTAGAGGCCGAAGAAGAGAATCTTAGAACTTCTGTAGTTTCAGTAGTACCCTCAGAAGGAGCTCAGATCATAGAGAATTTTCCTGGAGTAAAAGGACAAATGATCTCAAGAAAATGGGAGAACACCGATTTGAGAATAAAAAGCAATTGGTCGAGTCAGTAAATGGTACTGCACAAAACAGATTCACTGCTTACTGAAGGAAATGATGTTTTCATAGACACTATTAGAATTTGGTAGTATATTTTTTAAATGTTATCTTTGTAAATGTCTTCATTTTTTACTTTCTACATGAGACTTATCAAAAATTTAACGTTTAAAATAATGCTATTAACCCAAACATTTGACCATCCTAGGGTAATGGGTATATACATTTTGTCAAACATTGAACTTTAAAGGAGACTGATTGTCGTTTTTGTTTACCTAAACTCCAACATACTGCCTGGCCTACACTAAAAGACAAAGCCACTGAAACATCATGTCTACATGAAAGACCACAGTTTACTCTATAACAGATTTTAGCACAAAGGTTTTCACAATAATTTTCGTAAAGCTTACAATGGTAAATAAGTGTTTATTTTCCCCGAAACTACCTGTTAGAAGCTAATCAGAATATGATTAAGTTATATGATCTTGACATATTAACATTAACTTAAAAACATAGTTATATGAGGACACTCCTTGACTTATGAAGAGGTTAACCTATTGTGAGTTGACGATATTGCAAGGCAAAAATCTATCTAAGAAACTTAACACATTGAACATCATAGCCTACTTTACATGTGCTCTGACCACTTGTATTAGCCTGCAGTTGGGCAAAGTTACCTGGAAACAGCAGTATACTGGAGAGTATCACTTGTTTACCCTCATGATCATGTGGCTGACTCACAGCTCCGGCTCACTGCTGCTGCCCATAAGAGTGAGAGCGAGGATCCTACTGCTCTCTACTAAATGTGTATGGCTTCTGCAACCATGGGAAAGTAGAAAAATTATAAGTTGAACCACTGTAAGTAGAGGACTCTGTATATGTATGTGGAAATACTTGTTCCAGGGAAGTAAGTGTAGATGAAACTTCACCAGGATTTTAACTACAGAATACTTTTGGCCCCAGCAATTGACAGTCACATTATGCATATTTATATATGCCTATTCATTTTATTATAAAAACTTTTTCAGAATAAAGATTTCTCTGTTGGATAAGTATAGTACTTATACTTATAATCATTTAGGAAATAATCATTTAGAAGATTAGCAGTTCGACAGCTCCAAAAGTGGAAATGGTAAAAATAACAGTTTAAATCAGATAAGCAAGACAAACAAGGGAAGGCCAAGCACTTTTTCTTATTGTTTAGTGTCCTTCAGTAACCTATTTTTTCCACCTGTCAATATGCATTGTTAGCCTTTATATTCGTAAAGTATCTTTGGCTAGAAAGATGATAAATGCTCTAAGAGCACATGAGAACTTTCATATGAGCGTATTATATTTTAAACCGCTGTCATCTTGGTTCTCAGTGGGTTAGAATTTAACTCATTTCTATGGTTGGCTTGTCTCTATCTGGGATTTAATTTTAAATTAAATTTTAATGAAGTAGTTTCCTTCTCCTCATAAATTGAAGAAGAATGAGAATGAACTTTCTCTTTCTTTACTCAGAGCAGACTTCTACAGTACTTGAAAATGCAACTACCCTAGAGATTTGTCGCATATTTTTTAGCTTAGAGCTTTTCTTTCTGAACACTTACATTTACTACTTTTCCTCTTGGACTCCTAAGAGAAATCTGTAAAATGAACTTTTCTATCAAAGAGGAGCAGAATTCCGCTTAATCTTAAATTAACATTTTAATCCCAATTCTCAAATGTTGTTTTTGCTGCATATGCAAAAAATTATCAAAAATAGATGCCTAAAATTGTTAAGTACACATTTGTTTTTCTTCTGATGTATTATTTTACTTGTAGGCTCCTGTTGCCTGGTAGCATGCACATTTATTCTTAAATGGAAGAAGAATATAGTACTTAGAGGATAAATAGAATTGTTTTGAAGCTACTGAAAATAAAAGCAAATCATGCTAATTAATTAATTTGTCATACATAAGCCAATAGCAAGCAGTTTAGTTCTATTAGTTTCAATTGCATTAGAGCAGATTTTTAACAAAAAAAAGTTTAGAAATTCCAATCCCTCTTACAATTACCATATATTTATATTTAAATATCTTTTAGCATTTGTCCTAAATTATTTGTTATTCAGTGAGCAAAGCTAATAGTTATTGCATTGGAAATTTAATAAATAAGAGTTGAGAAAATTTAATAAATTTTCCTGATAATAAGTATGAGAGTAGATTAATAATGAAAAATGCAGAATGAGATTTTTCATCATAGCTGGAAGGTTAAGGAATTAATTTTACAGACCATGAAATGGAAATAACTTCCCCACCATATTATTAACAAATGCTTAGATCAGTATAATCAACAATTTTATTCTGAGCATGTCTATTCTCTTGTTTAGTGACACTAAATAGGCTTTTCCATCAGTTCATTAGGTTAATATAATTCAATAAATAATATCCACGTAAGAAGTAGATGACATCATGTGATGATTCCTTGATAAGATGCCTTATTTTATTAAGCAAATACATCAACAAATCTGAAGCTAATATAAGTATAATTTTATTAGCTAAATTTTTTACAAGTTACACAATATATTAGCATGCTGCCATCAATACAGAATATGACCATTGTAATGAATGGAAAATAAGTGGGATATTTAGAACAAGATGTTTCCCAGATAGCTCTTTCTCAATGAATGCTGAATTGTGAGTCAAAGTATGTATTATGTTACCATAAAAATTAAGATCTCTGTTTTTAAACATAGTTAGATGACATATAAAAACCATCCGCCACACTGTCAAAATGTGTTGTTATATAGATGTCAGCATATGATGGGGAACCAATACATTAGCTTCTGTTTAAGACAATGTTATACCAGTTTTGCCCTTGGCAATGTATGGAGCTTTCTGTCATTGAAAACTTGTCTTCAGCACTGTAGAAAATATTTGCACTTTGACACATTTAAAGTCATGCTGGAAAAATGGATGAATAAAATATGTGTGCAGCAGAGCAAAGGACTGCTAAAATACTTCCTTGGCTCACCTCTGACGTTTTATTTAATTGAATACCATTGACAAAAAGAACCAGAACAAATAAACAAAACAAAACAAAACACAGCATTTATTCAGAGGCCAGAGAAAAATAAATATTGGGATTAGTGTCATCATTGTTCATTTATCTAGTTTCTCATTTCCCCGGAAAGTGGTTCTCAAATTCCAGACTGTTCTTTTTATGATGGATGTAGCTAATAACAGCTGTGATGTTCAATATTTTTTCTTAGAATTAGACTTAACTGCTGCTAGTCCCCATCTTCATTTGATTGCTCCACAGATTAATTCAAAAATGATCTTTCACAGTTTTAAAGCATCATAAGGAAATGTCAGACATATGATCTCACTCCTGATCTCAAATTTCTGTTTGTCCCAGTACTCCCTATCTGCCTTCAAGGTGTGAATACAAATTTATCCATCATTGTTTTTGCAGAAGTCTTAAACACTTCAGCTTTCAACGAAAAATAGACTTACATCTAACCCTACAGACATACCACATGATTTGCCAGAGTAAAATATTATACAAAATTCTGTGAGAATTTCTCCAATCAGAGCTTAATCCTTCCATTTGAGAGAGATAATCAGCAGAAATCTTTTAACAGTCTGCATTTTAGCTTTACTGTGTGATTTTTTTTGAATATTTATTATATAATTACTAAAAATTATTTGTTAACAAATTAGATGTTTTCTACAAGGCAGATATTATTATGTTGTTCTTTAATACTGTGCGTTTCAATGACATTTCTCATTTTTCCACCTAGTCTATCTTTGACTTTCATCCATTCAAGAGTGGTAATGAAGTAGGAACTGTTCTAGCCTTCTATAAGTACACAGTAAATCTTGATTGTATGTACTGTACTAAACCACTTGCTTTACACTACAGCAGGGGACATTGCTTTAATATGTTGTAGTTTTGAGTTAGCTTTGGCTATGTATTATTAGATTTTTCATGGTATCAGATTCAGGTATTATCCTTATCAAGAACTTGTTTGTATAATTTCAGATCCTTTCTTTACAAGAAAAATGTTATATATTTTGATTTTTTAAAACTCCAAACTCTTATTAGACCATTCATTATTCTTTCTTCTCTCTTAGCAAATTGAATGTAATATTATATTATCTGAGAAAAATATCTGATTAAACAGTTCCCAGCTCAATGCCACCATCCTTAATTTCATAAAATGATGATGATCCGGTAGAGTATATTGATCAAAAAGAAAGTCTACTGAGTCAGATTGTCTGAAATTAAACCTTTCCTTCATGTTTTACCAATATGTGATATTAGATAGGTTTCAGTTTGCTATTATATAGGATAGATATACGAATTGTAACTAAATAAAAGACTTTTAAGAAGTCAATGCCCTGTAAAATGATTAGTACAGTGTACTTCTTAAGTACACTGATTGGGCTTCACATATGTTAATGTATGTTGTTATTTTATGCGTCTATTTAGGAAACTCTCTAGTCTTTCAATAACCAAATGTAAATCACCCTGGAGTTAAAATCACAAATGCATTTTGTAATAATATATTGTATTTAACAAATAAATGCAATAAAATTTTGAGACATTTCTTTCATAAGAAAATTATTAAGAGATGTTATTTTTGAAGTATTTTGAAGATGGAGATAAAAAGACAATACAAAATATTGATCTTTTAAATGATTATTAGAGTTCCATTAACTGTGTATTAAGTTGCAGTTAGCCTAATAAAATGACCGTTTTAGACATCAGTAACTTGGTAGAGGCTGACAAACATTCATTTACAGTTGGGTATGGACACTGACACTGACGATGCCCCCCACAAAAAAAAAGAGGTTATGGAAAGGTTAATCGTTTATGTAATTGAGGTCTCTGGGAGGAGCAGGAAGGCGTCTCAGGAAGATCCTAAATGGCAAGAGAGAGACAGGAAAGAGACTTGCTTAGGTTTTTATTGTACAAGTTGGTGAGTTTGCTCATGTAGGGAGGATTTATGAGATTTGAATTTCTTGCCTCCAGCAAAGGAGAAGAAAACACCAGAGTTTTCTTGCCAGTGTGTCCAGAAGGGCGGGACAAAGGGAAAAATAAAGGATGAGACTTAAAAGCTATCAACAGTCAAACATCAAAAAATGGAGTCAGACTCCTTGTTACAAACTGTGACATTAAATTTTAGTAGAAAAATTGGCTGAGTTTAATGAACCAGAAATGGTTTCTTACATAATGTTATTCAAAAATGCCTTTGACTGATTTTTACTGGATAATCTTCAGTCAACAATTTTTAAACAATGTAATGTAATTTTAAAACCTCTAAAAATGTGAAGCCAAAAACATCTTTTGTTAATTTTTATGTTATTTCTAAGCTCTTATCACATACCACTGTATATTTTGGTTACTTGTGTTTATTGAATTGAATTAAAAAATCTCAAGAAAGTAAGAGGTTGTGTATTGTATTTGTTTAAATTTCTTACATGACTTTGCATACTGCTAGTATTTAAAAAGAATTTATGAAATTAATAAATCAATTATTTACTTACATAAGACCCTATCCATAGAGTTTTTCTTTGACATAGCATCCTGAAGAAAATAAATCAAAATGTGAAGCATTAAGATTAGTTTTGATTAAAATCATTACTTTTATCAGTATAATAGTCCTATATTTAGTAGAAAAAGGCACTAATTTTTTTTTATAAAAAAAAGTTTGAAACTACCATGTCATACAACTAAAACATTCTTAAAAAGTTAAATTATAAAGTGACTATAAATGTGACATGCTCTGATAATTAGAATTCTTAATACAAGTAAATATATAAGAAGTGGATATTTGACTGGGTTCCATTTGCTGCCATAAAAATGCTATTATAGATTATGTCATAATTGACTATTAAATGAATGTGTGCATAACAAATTTCTAATATATGAAAGGCATTAAATAAATCTAGAATATGATTTACTGAAAAATATTGAATGAATGTGAAGAAAAAAAATTCTGAACACTTATATTCAGCTCAAGAACATAATCACCTGAAAAGATTTTTTTTAATCATGTGAATTTCTTTCTTTCTTTCTTTCTTTCTTTCTTTCTTTCTTTCTTTCTTTCTTTCTTTCTTTCTTTCCTCCTTTTTTCTTTCTTTCTTTTTTTTTGGCTGCAAGGAGACAGACTTTTACTCTTATTGACCAGGCTGGAGTGCAGTGGTGCCATCTTGGCTCACTGCAACCTCTGCCTCCTGGCTTCAAGTGATTCTCCTGCCTCTCGGCCTCCCATGTAGCTGGGATTACAGGCATGTGCCACCATACCTGGCTAATTTTGTATTTTGAGTAGAGATGGAGTTTCTCCATGTTGGTCAGGCTTATCTCAAACTCCTGACCTCAGTTGATCCACCCGCCTCAGCCTTCCAAAGTGTTGGGATAACAGGCAGGAGCCACCCTGCCTGGCCCTACATATGAATTTCTTATTTGCTAATATGAATAAGGACTACCTACTAAGCTTAAAATAATTACAAATCAATAATAAGGTATTTAATAACAGCATTTTTAACTTAAGAAATTGTAGCTAATGTTACATAATAGGAGTTACCAGCTTAAATGCCAGTATCTGCCAGGAGCAGGCAGATAATATAATTTAATGAAACCTTGTGTACGTACCTATAAGAGAGATTTCTGATGACTGAGGAACTCAAATACATCCTTCCTATTAGCAAAACTCCAGAGTGCCCAGTACGGCCAGAACAAAAAGAACAATTAATTACCAAGGAATATTTTTAGTTTAAAGTATAATAAAGCTATAATGTTAGACAAAAGTAAACAATAACATCATTTGGGAGATGTGTAATTCAAATTATCTTATATTTAGAAGAAGGTGGAGCAAGGAAAGCAAAGAGAATGGGCTTGATATGGGATATGGGGCTCAGGACTCTAGCTCTTCAGGGGAGATGAAGGGCATCCCCAGTTGATAGTAGAAGGAAACACCACAATGAGGGCTCAGCACAGGCAGAGTAAGCAACTGGTCTGTCCAGACTGGAGCAGTTCAGCAAACTGCAGGAGACATTTCCTCAAGAATGTAAAATCAATTCCCTACTTGTTTGTGTCTGAACCTGAAATTTAGACAATTGCCATAGAGTTTGGGGCAAAATCAGTTATAAGAAAACAAAAAACCAAGCCCAAAGTAACATGAAATAGAATTAATCATAGCATATATATTTTTGGTTACATTAAAATTAAATATGAAAATGTATATATTGTTGAAAACTTATTACACTCAAGAGTTTTATACTCATCTGTTCAGAAATAATAAGAATTTTAAAACATCTAAAAGAAAATGACATAGACATGAAGTGACAAGTTATAAAATTATCTGAGTAAAACATAAATATAAGGAATAAATGCTTAAATTAACTGATCTATTATCTAAGAAAATCTAGAGAGAATGATTTACAGGTAAAATATCATGATTTTTAAATGTAGTCAATAGTATGGTAACTTGTTACAGTTTTCAACACAATATTCTAACAATATTCTACCAATCTTCTTTCCAAAACAAAACCGAACAAAACCAATAACTGACTACAGGTCAGATGAGGTTTAATGTCTCCGAGTTGCTATTTTCATCATATAGATTTAAGTAGCCGGTATTTCTACTGCATTATGAACAATCATTAAAGTATATTTATTCTAAAGATGTTCCAATAGAAATTTGGGAAGCAATTAAGCATATTTAAGTAAGACAATGTTTTCTTAGAGTTTAACTTGCCAGAACCCATAATCCATCACCCAACTGCAAGACAGCAGTGAGCGGACAGCAGCCCAATGACTAGGCCATTGGAAAGTTAATTACAACTGCAGAAGAGAAGGGTTTTACATTTTTATTCCTTTTCTGTGTGGGCTTGACTTTTGATTCTGACATTTAGAGTTGATGGTCTGAAATCTAGTAAAATTCCATTACCATTATCTTTTAGAAACTAACATTATTCAATACAATTTTAGTTGTGTAAGGCTTTTATTTTTCAACTTGAAAAATTTTTTTCAAGATTTTTGAAAAGATCTTTTCAAATAGTGACTTAATCGTGATCAACCAGACTTCAGCAAACCATCTTTCAATATAACAGTCTAGAGTGTAATTAATATTGTGTTTAAAACAAGTACATTGTTGTAAATTTGAGTATAATTTTCTTTTTTGTTCACATTGTTTGTTTGTTGTTTTGTTTTTGTTTGAGACAGAGTCTTGCTCAGTGGTGTTATTATAGCTCCCTGCAGCTTTGAACTCCTGGCTTAAGCCATCCTCCTAACTCAGCCTTCCAAATAACTAGGACTACAGGCATTCACAACTCCACCTGGCTAATTTTTAAAAAAACCAGTGGAACAGAACAGAGGCCTCAGAGGCAATGCCACACATCTACAACCATCTGATCTTTGACAAACTTGACAAAAACAAGCAATGGGGAAAGGATTCCCTGTTTAATAAATGCTGTTGGGATAACTGAATAATTATGTGCAGAAAACAGAAACTGAGCCCCTTCCTGACACCTTACACTAAAATTAACTCCAGATGGATAAATGACTTAAACATAAGACCTAGCATCATAAAAACCCTAAAAGAAAACCTAGGCAAAACCATTCAGGACATAGTCATAGGCAAGGATTTCATGATTAAAACACCAAAAGCATTGGCTACAAAAGCCGAAATAGAGAAATGGGATCTAATTAAACTCCAGAGCTTCTGTACAGCAAAAGAAACAATCATTAGACTGAATCGGCAACCTATGGAATGGGAAAAAAATTTTGCAATCTACCCATCTGATGAAGGGCTAATATGCAGAATCTACAGAGAACTAAAACAGATTTACAAGAAAAAAAAACAAACCCATTCAAAAGTGGGTGAAGGCCATGAAAAGACACTTTTCAAAAGAAGACATATGTGAGACCAACAAACATGAAAAAATGCTCATCATCACTGGTCATTAGAGAAATGCAAATCAAAATCACATTGAGATACCACCTCATGCCAGTAAGAATGGTGATCATTAAAAAAATCTGGACACAACAGATGCTGGAGAAGATGTGGAGAAATAGGAACACTTTTACACTGTTGGTGGGAGTGCAAATTAGTTCAACCATTGTGGAAGACAGTGTGGCAATTCCTCAGTGACCTAGAAATAGAAATTCCATTTGACTCAGCAATCCCATTACTGGGTACATATACAAAGGATTATAAATTGTTCTATTATAAAGACACATGCACACATATGTTCATTGTGGCACTGTTTACAACAGTAAAAACCTGGAACCAACCCAAATGCCCATCAATGATAGACTGGACAAGGAAAATGTGGCACATACACCATGGAATACTATGCAACCATAAAAAACGATGAGTACGTGTCCTTTGTAGCGACAAGGATGAATCTGGAAACCATCATTCTCAGCAAACTGACACAAGAACAGAAAATCAAACACCACACTCGCTCATAGGTGGGTGATGAACAATGAGAACACATGGACACAGGGTGGGGAGCATCACACACTGGGGTCTGTTGGGGGGGTCTAGTGAGGGGACAGACAGTGGGGGTTAAGAAGGTTGGGGAGGTATAACATGGGGATAAATGCAAGATATAGGTGACAGGGAGATAGAGGCAGCAAACCACATTGTGTGTATCTATGCAACAGTCCTGCATGATCTGTACATGTACCCCAGAACCTAAAGTACAATAAAATATATATATATGTATATATATATATTTATATATAAACATATATTTATATACATAAATATATATATGTGTGTGTATATATATATATATATATATATATATAAATTCTTTAGAAACAGATTTTCCTCTGTGTTGCCCTGACTGATCTCGAACTCCTGACCTCAGCAATCCTACCACCTCTGTCTCCCATAGTGCTGGTATTACAGGCATGAACCACCATGCCCAGCCACATTTTTTTTTAAACTCCCATGTATTTATAATATTCTACAAAATTTTTAAAATGCTCATATATAAATATTAAGCATTTTATTCAGTATTCGTCAAGTATTTGCTGCATGCAGACAAGGTATGAGACAACAATCTGGGCACCTGAGATACTTTAATGAATAAGATAGGTAAAATTTATTGTCCAAAGAAATCAAGCATTCTAGTAGAAGTAGAGAGACAAAAAGTAAAAGAATAAACAAATTATATATCAGGTTGATTGGTAAAATGTGCTGTGGCAAATGTGTATTTTTAAAAATAGAGAAAGGAGAAATGGGTGTGGAGGACTGTGATTTTAAATAGATCAGCCAATATGTTTCTCACTAAGAAGGTCACATTTAAAAATGGACTTGAAGGTAGTTACTAAGTTAACTTTGTGGCTATCTGGGGAAAGATTACTCCAAAGAAAATGATTAGTCAGTCAAATGGAAAGAAACGCTTGCCAGTTTTGAGGAGAAACAAGGATTCCAGAATAGTTGAATTGAAATGAATGAAAGAAATAAGAATAATTTATTAGATAAATAATAGGAGTCTTATCTGACGAGTCTTTAGAGGCCACTATGAGAACTGCCTCTCACTGTAAATGAACAACTGGTAAGTTCTAAAAAGAGAAGTGACACATCTAAATTTAACTAGTTAAATAAAGAAGCATACCTGCTCTGTATCGGGTTGGAAATAGAAGGCAGGAAGAGAAGCTAGTGAGAAGAAACACTTAGAAGCATGTTGCAGTAATCCAAGTATGAGTATTAGACCAGCAGGAGATGTGATGAAAAGTCTTTGTATACCAGTTACATTTTAAAGGCATCATTAGTAGGATCTTTTAAAGTATTAGGTAACGGAGGATAACAGAATGAGATGAATGAAGATTCATTGCTTGGTTTACGGCCTGGACAAGTAGAAGGACAGAGTTTTCATTAACTGAGATCGGACAAGCTGAGGAAAGATTGGAGTGGAAATTAGTAGTTAAAATTTGGACACGTTACTTTTGGCATATCTATTCAAGCAGAAATTTAGAATAGTTAGGTATATGTTTGGATTATTAGAAAGAAGTGAAGGTGGGAGGTATAAAATCATGTATTTTCAATCTATATCTTATGTAGATATAGATACGGACATGTATAATAACTGGAAAATTGATAAGAATACTGAGGACCTGCATTTAACTAGAAAGGAAGAAACTGGGTAACTCTAAAATAAAGAGCTAGAAAAGAAGAGAAAGAACCAGTAACAAAGACAGAGTAAGGTTAAAGAACAACCAACAGAATAAAGAATCCTAAAGGCCAATTATGATACTTGTGCCAAAGTGAAAGGAATGATCAATATCCACCGATGATTAAGGTGAGATATTGTTTTTTGTTTTTGTTTGCTTGCTTTTATTGTTAATACTATTTTATTTTCTTTACTGAATTTAGTATTTAAGTTATTGGAATTGATTCAACGTGCCTGAAAGCAAAATTGAATGGAACAATATCCAGGCTGTGTATTAAAATTCAAATAGTGTAGATAGGTTATTCATACTGACAGAAATTCAGATATATATATAGACATATTCTGAAAATTATTGAACTTTCTAAATAAAACAATGAAATTAAGTTTAATTATATTTGGGATAATGGTTACTCAATTGATTTTAATTTAATTCTATTTTAGTTTGAAATAATCAGAGCTAATTAATTTAGTTTGGTAAGTACACATTAAGAATAAATTATCTTCAAATTTTACCAACCCCATAGTTCATGAGAATAAAGTAATAGAAACTAATCTTACTGAGGATATTGTGTGCATCTAGTAAAATAAATTCCCAATCCAATAGGGTGAATATTATGATGTCTGTTTTTCTGAAGAATTTCAGTGATTCATTTAGTTAGCTAGTAAGAAAATAACAAAATCTTGTCCATCTGGCTTCTAAATGCATTTCCCCTACTATGGATATTTCATAGACTATTATAAAAGTATAGAAAGTATTAATATTATACAGATCTGTTAATTTCCTTCATTCGATCAGATCTTCTGATTCATGGTGTTTAAGTCAGGTTTAGAAAAACACACATATACCAGTTAATATTAATTCTGCTAGCTCTGTCCTTCTTACAAAAACTACCATAGGTCAGCCATTTCACAAATCAAAGAAAGGGAGAACTTTGAAACTAACTTCATTATTTGTCAAAAAAAAAAAAAACATCCAAACAATATTTCACAAGCTAAAAAATTTAATGCCTTATTCTATCTAATGACGATATGACTCTTTCGTATCAATTGTAGATCTATAGCTTGTAGGTAGCTTGGTTCATTGCAGTGCTCTTAGTATTTCTAGCATGGTAAGCCCAGGCAAGCTACATAATTACCAATTTCTTCATCTCTCCTGCCACATAATGTCATCTTTTTTTAAACAGCCACTACATGTACAGTCAGTATAGGTCTTCTTAGAATTTGATTTACTTATTGTTACTTAACCTTCTAGTGATTATAGAATAAAGTGATTATAAGGGGCTTGCTAGATGCCTAACTTGTTTTTTAATTACCTCAAGCCCCTCTATATATCCTATTCAGATATTTGTCTGATCTATGATGGATGAGCTTTGGCAATGGGGAAACTAATTATTTTCTAAGGAAAAACTAAAATTATCTAAATTAAAACTAAAACTAAAATCTTTCTGTTTTCTTTGTGATTGTGATCAGCAGAAACATTTCAAATAATTCTTAATTCTTAATTTTTTTTCTTAGCATTAAGTTAAATCCTTAATATGTGTTAGCTATTGAAGGTAAAGTTCTAGAGTTAGTCTTGGTCTGCAAAAGCTTAGTGATATACAACAAATAAGTACGTGTTTATAATTTGGTATTTGCTCCTTAAAAATCTCTTGGTAACAAACTAGACAAAGTTAAATTTCTCCTCTCTGAATTCCACCTAGGATTCACAGTGAGCATGGCATTAGCTGCTTAAAGGATGAATAATTAAAGAAGAATAAAGGTTAATTCTCGGCACAGAAAATAGATAACGTGCAATCTCTCTGTGAAGTTCCCATTTCTGGGTTTAAATTTAGGCCAAATCAGGGCCGGTTTATACATGGCAATCTTTCAAACATTTGCAGATGATGGTTAAGATTCCCATCTCTTCTTCTCCCCCATGCTTTGAGGTGCCTATATTCTGTTTTCTGGACAATCACAATGATTAGTAAGCCATCACATTCTTTTAGGTTTCTTTTCTCTACTTTTCCATAGCACTTTCAAAATTTTCTCAAATATGATGACTTGGAATTTCCTCAACAATATAATAAATTTAAAAACAAACTCTCTAGTATTCAATACACGTTTTAAACATGTTACCCACAGCTGAGCACATATCCCATGAATTGTCTCATCATGAAGAAAAAAAAAACTCAGAACTATGATTTCTCATTTTGAAAAGTATACTATTAATGAAATAAGATCGATTTAGATTTTTTCCATATTTACATAACATTACTGGCACACACTTCATTTACTCTCAAATATAGTTCACTGGTTGATCCCATAGTAAAGACTTGCATAAAAACAAAATTTATTATCCACAACTATATATATATATATATATATATATATATATATACACATATAATATTTTATATTCCAAATGTTTCTCATACTCTATTGATAATTAGACATCAGTGGTCCTATAAACATTAGTCCATATTTAAGTGACTGAAATGGAAAAATTTGTACCAAGTTATTTTATACTTTCACTACATTGTAGGTCCAAATTCATGCAGTAGTTGCTGAACTGCTTATTCCCTGAGTGAATCATGTTTTACATTTGAAAGTGTAAAACATTTTGTTACAAATGAGATCAAAGCTGTCTCTAGGAATTAAATAAAATGAAATGTATTTTATAAATACTAGTTTATTTCATAAAAATACAAAAATATAAATATACATTTATAAAAATATGAATGAATTAACACAGACATTCTTCAACTAAATAAATATGGCAGTAATAGTCATTCCTATTTCATTAGGGTTATATCTTTTTCATATTAATTTACAAAGCATTTGCACAATCTTTAGTTTAATAGTAAAGGTGACTGAAAGTCAGTTAAGAAAACATTTATAAATTATTATACCTAAGAAAAGGCACAAAAAGCCTTTTAAATATTTTTATTGATTATTGATGTGATATACTTTCCTTCCGAGATTGTTAGGCAAAGAGGGTGAACTGGTTATTACTTTTTAAAAAATCTATGTCATTCATATTCATTCACGAATACTTACTGATTAAGCAAGTCCCTACTAAGACAACACCTATGTATTGTTTGTAATTTCAATTTTTTGACAAATTTCCTTCCAGAGTGATAATTCAGGCCACTCAAGCTAATAACATAGTACTTCCACTAATATTGACCAAGTCAAACAATCCTCTTAGTCTCGGTCACTATCATCACCCCCGTACATATCAGCAAGTTTTTTAAAACGAGGCCCCCAGTCACTGAGGTAATCATAATCTTGGTTACAATCAACTGTGAGAGATTCTAAAGAACTGAGTGAATCTGCTATGGAATCATTCCCTTCATAGGCATACGTTGCCAGTGAATCGTACGGAGGTGCACTTGGGTCTGCGTCATTTTCTTTTAATCTTCGATGGATAAAATCTTGTACATCAATATTTTCCCACAGAGGCACAGTTCTCCTGATCTGAAAAATCGTTTCGGGCATTACATCCCGTCTAAGTTTACTGTCTTCTCTCGCCTCTGGATTCCTTAACTTGCCAATGTCAAAAGCTTGGGTATCTTCTTCCCCGCCGCCTTCATCATTGTAGGTCACAACGTTGTCCCGGACGTCGTCTTTTGAAATTATCAGGGGTTCCTTTTTTCTTTGTCTCTTCAATGCAGCAAACAGCACGACTAAAACTATTAATAAGAAATGAGAAAACAGTGAGATTTCATGAGTCAGGATAAAATAGAGTACACTTCTGTGTGTGAAATTGTTTGGTGCAGGAGATACTAAGATTGATTGAATAAAAAGAATTAACTACCCTGTACAAATACAGAGTTCCTCAAGGCAATAACTGGATGTACTGTATTGATAAAGGAGCAGATATTACCATGCCATTAATTTATGGTCAAGACACACTCTCCTATGAACTTCTGGCATTGAAAAAGCTTTACTCAAGTACAATTATGATATGTGTCCAACTGTAATTGCCTGACACCTCAGCGGTCTTTACAAATGGGTACTTGTTTCAAATACAAAAATGCTAAATTTCTAATCATAATGATATTAATCATTCCTTTCAGTTTGGCACAAATATAATTTCTTAATGATTCAAGGGAATTTATGCAAAACGTTACACATATACAGATACATATATTCTTGTATATGCATTATATTCATATGTTATGTGTTTACATACAGACACACATGAATATGTACAAATCACTGATTTTATCACTACCTATATCGCCTATGTTTAACTAAATTCCTTTAGTGGTCTAATTTTGCAGGTGGCTTGAAAAGATGAAATATAATTCTAAAAGTTACAACATAAAATTCAAACTCAAACTTATCTTTAACTTATCTTTAAAAACATCTCAGAATGTATCTTGTTAATGAGGACTTCCTTTGACACACACAGTCTGATTTCAGCTTTTGGAATGAAATGTTAATCGTATTGCCTCTACTTGCTTTATTATTTTTATTGTTTACATGTCTGTTACAAAGTTAACTGTGAACTTCACCTCATATAATATATTTTCTTATTTCTTATTATAATACTGGAATTCAAATAATTATGTATATTGGAAGATGAACCTTTTCCTAATAAGTGCGTGTTGCAATTAATAAGATTCATTTAAAAAGAAACCGACATAATTTTCAAAATATAAAATTTCCATTGGAAGTTTAACAAGCCCATACATTTACATATAGGAAATGTGAGAATAAACTCAAGAAAATATCTCCAAAACACACTTCAACATTACCAGGAAAAAATACAAACTAGGTTTCCTTTATTTTAGGGCATTTAACTATTTGTCAGTGTTATGTATGCTTCATAAAAAATAAGAAAAGGTTGGCTGAAGGAGCTATTTTTTCTTTCCTCAATTTTTACATTCAGATTAAATAAAGCGTATCATTGTCATTGAGACTACACTTCAACATGGCCCCTGAGGCCCCTTTAACTACACTAACACCCTGTTCAGTGGTATTTTCATATTGGCCAGTACACTTTTCTCAGCTCTCCTAACTTATAGAAAGATTTTACAAAAGATAAATAAAAGTTTCTGTAGTTAACCTCCACAGAATGGGCTTTGGGAGCTGAACTATATTCAGGATCATCTTAGAGACATTTACAACAAACAAACAAAAAAACCTCTGCAGTAAGAATGAGACCTCTGTACTCTCCGTTTAAAAAATGGACATAAGATTAATTAAGTCCAACGTGGATCTGACATCCACCAAATTTGAGTCATGCACTAGAAAAAGAGATTTCTTTCTTAATTTAATATGAAATAAATTTATAAGTTCTCTACCTTTTATTAATAAAATAACAGTTTTGCAGTCAAATTATATTAAGGGTTTTTTAGCTAATAAACACTAATTCCCACAAATGGTTCTTAGAATCTGTTCTGAGCTTTTTCTTTTCTACCAGATTAAAATTATCAGATCATCTCTTAGATTGTGTTTATTAATCTGGGGCATGCGAACTGAATTCAGAAAGAATAGGATAGGAAATGAAAAAAGTGCATCATTATTTTCATCCATCTGCAACTGAAACTGAGCATTTCTTTCCAGTAGGAATGTTGGCATATATTGTGGTGACACTGGCAGTGTGTGTGACGGATACTTTATATTGCATTACAGTTTGACAGATAAATCAAACCATAGATTTGCTCCAGACCATGGCATGCATGATTTGATAAACAAGCACGTTTTTCTTTGGGTTTTTTGTTTCATTTATTTAAGCGTATTCCCTTTTTGTCTTACATTTTTTACTCTTATAAATTTAAATCATTTTTCTGGCTGGGTCCTTCATTGGAGTTCCAAAAGTGTCCCTAGAATCAAAAAGTTTTAAAAAGCCCTGCCCTAGGTTTTAATCTTCCACCTTGCCTTGTGAAATAGATATAAATTAAGAGTTGCATTTCTTCAAAATGCATGAAAGTACATCTAAAATAGTAACGTCAATGTTATGTCACCATCTTATAAAATGCAAACTCTCTTAACTATAGAAATACAATAACTATGTCCAGCCGTTACCATAAAGACTCAAAAGAACAATAACATGCTTTTGTAACTCTGAAAATATAAATTTCTGAATTAGAAGTAATTTTAACTACAATAATAGAAAAATCACTTCACATTTAGGCAATGGCCTGGGAGAATGAAAAATAAGAAATTAGTGCTTTCTATATTGTTCAAGGAACAAAGGTGGCTGAATTTACAGAATATAGGAAGAGACCTTCTAGGATTTCTGCATAGAGAAAAATAGTATCAAATTTATGTCGACAATGTTAAAATACCTAAACTTGTTTGGAGGAATGCTTTTGATTCCCTATGTATGCATGACTGTCTTTGTGTGTGTGTGTACATTACATCAATACGAAAATTTTTTAAATGATCTAACAATAAACATATTTTCACGTTGTTCTAAATTAGGAAGGTGGAACTGCCTTAGCAAATAAAACAACGGGAAATCAGTAGCACTTAGCAAAAAGGCTAAGCCAAATTTTTATCTCCACAGGGATACAAAAATATTTTACCCAGGATTTGAACTCTCTGGCAGTAGGTGGGGACTGAAACTGCTGATGGTGATGGTAGCAGTGTGTTTGTTCTAAACCACACTGAGAAAATGTTTTTGGTAATAGTTGGATCATCTTAACTGAGACAAATGTTTTTCCCTCACTTTCATCCATCCGCTACTGAAGTCCTGCAAGGATATCTGGCCAAAGGGATTTCATCCAGATAGTTTGAAAGGATTTTCAGAAAAAAGGAGCCAGCACATATGAGCATTAGAACATAAATTTGGCTAGCTCTCCTACCCTAAGCATAAGCATTTGGGCTGAATATTTGACGGAAACAATTTTGGGGGGAATATTTTCCAGTGGAACAACTGTCTAATTGAATTAAATCGTTGTCCTGTTAGTGCATGCTCAAATAAAACATTCGCTGTTGGAACATGACTTTATTTAGAAAGTATTGCAGGGCTAGATGTGACCACAGTGATATAGTGATATTTTAAAAACAAATTTTAACTTTTTTATTTAGTATGTGACACCAATATATAATAAGTTATATAGAGGAAATGTCTTACTGTGACAATTTTAATGCATTTGCATGTTAGATATCTGATATAGATAACTCAGAATTCGTTAGTAACTTATTTGTAAGGGCAAAGTAGTCTTTGGTTTGAGAATAATAGAAAGGAAAACTCTATAGTAGAGTAATATGTGTGAATGCTAGCTAAAATCCTTTCTAAATTAGTGACTTGGAGAAAATTATGTAACCTTTCTCTAGAAAAAAAAAGTATTTACGACCTAGCACAATGACTCACACATGTAATCCAAGCACTTTGGGAGGCAGAGGTAGGCAAATCATGAGGGCAAGACTTTGAGACCAGCCTGGCTAACATGGTGAAAACTCATCTCTATTAAAAAATGCAAAAAACTAGCTGGGCATAGTGGCGGGCACCTATAATCCCAGCTACTTGGGAGGCTGAGGCAGGAGAATCGCTTGAACCCAGCAGGTGGAGGTTACCATGAGCTGAGATTGTGCTACTGCACTCCTGCCTGGGTGACAGAGCAAGACTGTCTCAAAAAAAGAAAAAAAGTATTTATACGCTTGACACAAAGATGAAATCAACGAAATCAAATCTGCTTAAAACAGTGACCATAGTTAGTCAAAGATATAATAGCTAATGGTATAAATTATATTTTAAAAATATTCTTGTGTGTAGCATTTGTTAGATCTTTGTTTTTGGTCTCTGGAAAGCTGGGCCTATCCCCACACACAAAAACGCTTATTTTTTCCTAAAGAACAATTTTAATGAAAAGTGAAAATGTTCTATCTTTATCTATAGAGAAAAGTGTTACTCAGTGCACCATCCTTGGACAGTGAGGGAGAGATTTTTGTGATTTAAAGGAGCATTCAGAGGGGCAGAGCTTACTAAGCAGTATGAGGACACAGAGCAGAATCGCGACGAGAGCTCCGGTGCTCAGGCCGGCTGAGAGAATCAGGGCTTCTGCAGTGCAGGATTGCATGTTTCCTTGACTATCGCAGGCACACACACGAATTGTGAGTGTGCCAGTGCTGCTTTGAATCGGATAATCGTTGTCAAATATTAAAATGGGCAGTAGGTAGGTGCTCATTTTGTTGCGACTGTAGCCATCTTTTCGAGTCATGATCCCTGCCGTATTATCTGGGGGAGAAAAAAAATGTAAAGACCCAAAAACTTTCATAACTGTTTTTAACTCTGTATCTTAAAGTCTCATAAATTTTAGTTTTAGAATTTTCTTAATACCTTTATTATCTACAATGGTGAAATTCGGATTGAGAGTAAATTCTGGCACTGGTTCAAAGAAGAATTTGTGACCTCGGGGTGGGTCATCTTTATCCATGACACTGACAGTCTGAATCAACTGAAACCAAAATAAATAAATTAATTAATTAAGCCTAAGGCAATTTTCTTGTTATTCCAAGATATCTTAAATCCATGTATTTGTGCTTTGAATACATCACAAAAATAAAGCAGCAAAACAAAATAAATGCCATTTTCAGAAAATTATGCCAATGTTTTATTTTTTTGTTTTGTTTTGTCTTCAGTAACTTAGTTAAGAGTGAAAGACATCTATTAAGCAATGGTTTGCAAGGTGTCTGAATGCATTATTGTCTTATTCCTGGCCACCTTAAACCAAAATTCAGTTTCTCCAATACCTATCCTCTTTTGATATTGTTGAAAGGAACAGTCCACTTTAGTACTAACTACTGAGAAATATGCTATTCACTAGAAAATAATTCTGCAAAGGATGAGCACATAGAAGATACGTTTGTAAAAACACCAAATGCTTAGCACAATCACCCCTATATATTAACAATATTATTAATATATTTTTAAATAATACATGAATTTGTCAGGTACTATAAGAAATAAAATGATTTTGAAGCTATGGGCACCGTTACTATAATTACACTATTTTATTCAAATTGCTTGCTTTTCTTTTAATGATATTTGCAAAGACAGATGTACAAAGAAATGCTTTTAGGGTTTTGTAAAATCAATGTTGAAGTTTCAAAATGAGAGCACCGCTTGGCTGAGCTAGTGTAAGTAAATAGAAAGTGTGTCCTAATGGAATAAGGAACAGCTAACTATGGGTTGGGCAGAAAAATCTCACTGAGCATTTTATAGTAGAAAAAGCACTGAGCTACACAGTATGTGCGATCTGTGTGATTTGAAATCACGGTCATTTAATTACCTTGACTTTTAGCTTTCTCTTCTACAAAAACAAGCGGGTATCATAGTCTAACATTATATGGTGAACAGTTATCGAAATTCACAATAGTTGAAGCTTTCCATTGTTTCATTGTATATTTTTTTATCACAGTACTAACCTACATACTCACTAGTCAGTGCTTCTTTTCACTTTAATTTTATATTAACTATAATTTCATCATTTTTGACAGTGTTATGTAACTATTTTTAATAAAGTGCTTTTGAAAGTGCACAATTATTAATAAAAATTTAATAAACTTTTCTCCTTAGAAAATTGGAACATAAAAAAATCTTATAATATCTAACATTTTTGCTCAACCTCCTGTTCCTATGTAGCTATAACAAATCTAGCTTTTAGTAATAATTTAAATAGTAAAAAGACTGATCTTTTAATTATATGACATTTGAGTTCTTGAAATTATTAGATGGACCTTGTGTAAGTATATTTTATGAAGATATACATATACTCAAAATCTTTTCTACATTTAACTTTGTGGGTAATAATATATATTAAATAATTACATTAGTTAATATCAGTTATACTTAATTTTTATAAAATATTATCATATAATATATCAAAAGCTCACCTGAATTATTAAATCAATAAAAAACAAGCATACTAATAGATGAGTGAGGAAAGAACATTTATAGGTGACTGTAGGTTGACTTGTGTTCCCCAGAAAGATCTGTTCAAGTCCTAAATTCCAGTACTTATGAATGTGGCTTTAAGAAATTGGCTCTTTGCAAATAAAATCCAGTTAAAATAAGATCATTCTAAATTAGGGAGAACTCTAATTTAATGACTGAAGTCCTCATAAGAAGAAGCAAATTTGGACACAGAAACAGATACAGGAAGAATGCCATGAAATGATGGAGACAGAGATTGGAGCAGTTGGAGTCCACAAGCCAAGGGTTGTCAAGGATGCCGGCAAGCACATGAAGCTAGAGCGTGCCAAGGAAAGGTAGTCTCCTAGAGCCTCTAGAGAGAACATAGCCCTGTTGCATGTTGATTTTATACTTCCAGCCTCCAAAACTATGAGAAATGAAATTCTGTGTTTTAAGTGATTCTGTTTGTGGTAATTTGTCATGGCAGCCCTTGGAAACTAATGCAGCTATAAATTATTTTTTAAGGCCACATTTTTTATGGAAAAAAAAGTTTAGTCTTCATGAATTTGAAAGAATTCACACTAAAAGTGTTATGAGAAATTTACATATTGGCAGACATTTAAAAACTAGAATTGCTAAGTATATAGGCAATATACATATTTGGTGAGAATATCACCTAGTTTATGACAGATTTGGAAAAGTATTTGGGGACATTTATTAATATTTATAGATACAATTTAATTACTCCTACTTTGATAATTATATCGTCAAAGGAAAGTAATACCAGGTGGTAAACAAGCATAATGTACTACAATGCTCATTATGGTACTACCTGCTAGGGTAACAGTTTGTTGATAAACCAAATTTTCATTAAGAAGGATGTAACTGAATAAGTAATACATAACTATGCTATGAAAATTAAACATCAAACTAAAAATAATTATTTACCAAACTGAAATGCTCATTATCAATTGGAAACTGAAAAAGAAAAGCAGCTTTTAATCCAAATAGCTATGTAATAATTCCATGTTATTACAAATAAAAATCTCATTTGTATTTTTGTATATGTAGGTGGAATGTGCTATGTATCTCTGTCTTAGTCAGCTGGGCTGCCATAACAATCCCACACACTCAATGGCTTAAACAACCGAAATGCATTTTCACCTACTTCTGGAGGATGTAAGGGTTGAGCTCAAGATGCTAGCATTGTTGGCTTTTGATGAGGGTTTGCAAATATTAATAGCTGGCTTCTCCCTGAATGCTATCAGATAGTTTTTCATTGGTCCATGAACTCAGGGACAGGAATAAAGAGAGAGCATGAGCTCTCTTTTATCTCTTCTTTGTATCCTTAATCCCATCAGATCAGCCTCAATCCCTTTAATGACTTCACTTCATATTAATTACTTCTTGGAAACACATCTCCAAATACAAGACACTAGGGTTACATTTTCAAAATATGAATTTGGAGGAGGACCACAACTAGTTCATAATATTCTCTATTGGAATAGAAGAAAGACTGTATTTCAGTTTATTTTCTAGTTTAAAAATACATGATAGAATTATAGATGGTTCTGAACATCTGTCTATTTTATTCTTTAGTTAATTATCTGATTAAATTACCTTTGGTAAAAGTTATGCAGTTATTGTTATTGAAAAATACTATATGTTTTGTCAAAAATCAGCATATTCTGCATTTAGAACTATTTTATATACATTTGAAAGAATTATTTTCTAAGAAGACTACCTAATTTTTTTTATAAACAAGTCTACTTCATTTCAGTGATATGAAACTTCAAAACTTACAAAATATCACTCAAATCAATCTCTCCTAAAACTATTAAAAGTGGAAAAATCTAATCAAGACAATTATGATTACCTTTATAGTAACATAAAACAATTTCACTTTCATACTTCATGTTTTATTTAATAATGTATTTCATTCTGTTAGTGAATATAATTCAGCATTAGCATAATTATGAATGCAGGTAACAGCTTCTACATATGTGATATTCATGATAAACCTAGTATATAAATTAAAACCTGTTACAATATTCCCTACTATATTATTTATTCCATCATAAAAGCATTTTTAAAATCACCTTTTTAAAATCCCTGTGAGTTCTTTGGTAAGGATAAATAAATGGTGGACAAGAAGTATGGACAATAGTTTGCACAAAAGAAATCCTGAAAATAAAGTGATGAATTGTCATTTGCCCTTGTAAAAAGAAAATATATTCTTTTAACTGTTTGAATGATTTTATTTACCTGCCCAGGTTTTGCATTTTCACAAACAAATGTTTCATAATACATGGCAAATTCCGGAGCATGGTCATTTATATCTAGAATTCTGATGAAGACCGGAATGTGGCTACTTTGTTTTGGGTTATCTGCAACGAGAACATGTGTAAGATTTCAGTCTCATTTACAGAGAAGCAGTGAAACCACTCACCCATTTGTAGCTTAGCAACAGATCCTTTTTGTGGTGTGCACTTTCTCAATTGGGCTGCTGATGAATATCTCAGCTCTCTTACATGGTCCAAATGAAAAGCACAATAAAATTGAGGAAAATATAATTGAGAATGAAGTATTACTTGTAATAATTTTCTTAGACTATTTTTATGAGGTTAAATTATATTTCTCTCCCATATAAGGTATAAAGGAATATCAAATTTGAAAGGAATGAATTATTTGATAACCCTTAAAAATAATTTAGAAATGTGTTGATATTCTAAACCATTTCTCTAAGATCTTGCTAAAGATACAATCATACCACTCAAGAAAATGAGTCCAGCTGGTGCTATTATTTTACCACTTTGATGAAAGACATTGTGTTCAGGTGGAGATAGCTCCCACTTACTTATTTCTGTGGCTGTAACAGTGATGTTATGCCAAGGAGATGATTCCCGGTCAAGGGCTTTCAAAGTGAAAATAGAGCCATTTTCTGAGTGGATGCCGAAAATACGGTCCATATCAGTATGCCGATCAACAGAGTATCTGACAGAAGAGAGACTCATAAATCCAGGCATTCTTCTAAGGTTATTAGTTCTACTGTTTCTTGAAATTATAGGTAATTTCCACAATGATCTGACAAAGACGTGAAAAGTAAAACGCTAACAACTTTCTTGAATTTTTATTTTATAGAATTGTTATTCGAACAATTTCATGTATTTGACTCTTTCCACTTACAATTCCATGATTATGTGTACTTTAGAGCCATTATTTATACACATAAATCTGGGTGGCAGCTGATTCTTAAGTATCACTTGGTTCACTTATCATAGACCGACTGCAGTGCTTGAGACACATGAAACAGTAATGTTAAACTTGATTGAGTCAATCGTAATGAATAATCAAAAGTATGTTTAAAAAATGCATAACTGTGTCTAGAGTCCTCTATAAGTAAATATAGAGAAGGCTATTATAAAATACATAGCTCATGAATGGCTTTTTATTCAAGAAACATCCAGCTGAATACAGTTCTTCCTTCCATCTATCCCTCCAACTTATTTCAAATCAAAATGAAATATCATATCACCAGAGAGTTCTGTAACTTTCTCATTAGGGCTGTATATGAAAGACGTCATTGTAAGCTTTGTATCACTCTGTAGTTGGCAATATAATATCTCCTCTCCCTAAGATGTCTATACCCTAATCCCCAGAACCTGTGAAGATTTTGTCTTATACCGCAAAAGTAACTTTGCCGATGTGATTAAGGTTAAAACACTGATACAGGGGATTATCCCTGATTATCAAGATGTGCCTGGTTTAATCCTATGAGCCCTTAAAAGTGGAAGGGGAAGGCCAGGCATGATGGCTCAAGCCTGTAATCTCAGCACTTTGGGATGCCAATGAGGGAGGATCACTTGAGGTCAGGAGTTCCAGATCAGCCTGGCCAACAGGGAGAAACCCCATGTCTATTACAAAATTAGCGGGCTGTGGTGGTGGGACCCTATAGTTTCAGCTACTCCAGAGGATGCGGCAGGAGAATCGCTTGAACCTGGGAGGCAGAGGTTGCAATGAGTTGAGACAGCACCACTGCACTCTAGCCTGGGTGACAGAACAAGACTCCATCTCAAAAACAAACAAACAAAAAATGGCATGGGAAGGCAGAAAATTGGTTTAGAGAGATGAAACAGAAGAGAAAAAGAGAAGAGATTTGGAGAATAAGAAGTACTTGTCCCATGGCTGCTGGCTTTAAAACTGAAGGAAAGGAGTCACAAACCAATAAACAATGAATGTAGGCAGCTTCTGAAACTGAGGATGGTCCTTAATCTGACAACCAGTAAGAAAACAGGGGCCTTGCACACACAACTGCAAGGAAGCTGACTGATCACAGCCTGAATGATCAAGGAAACAATTCCCTGGCTGGAATCTGCAGAAAGAAAATGGCCTGTTCACACCAGCACCTTGACTTTAGCCCAGTGAGACTCATACTGAACTTCTGACATACAGAAGTTCACACCTATCTGTAACATAACACATGTATAGTATTTTTTGTGTGTGGCAGCAATTGAAATCTAATATATTCTTAAAAGATACATTTTAGAAAAGATTAATATACAAGACAGTTCTTCAGTTACATCAGACCATGTTATGCCATACTAGCTAATTTTTTATATTTTTTTGAGATTTCTGTTGCAGAGCCTTTAATTGAGCCATATCAAAAAGCAAGTGCTTCCCAAACGTTAACATTTAGGTGAATCACGTATGAATAAGTTTGATTCAATAGCTCAGGGGTGGGAGCTGGGATTGTGCACTTCTAACAAACTCTTAAATGAATCCTATGCTGTAGCTCCACAGACTAGGTTTTAATACAGCAGTTTTAGACTATGAGATAAAGTGATTAGAATAAGAACAGAAACAGGAAAAGCAATGAAGGACAATTAACAGCTTAATCAGCCCCTGGTGTAATCTTCATTTTCTTGGTATCTTATTAAAGGCATCTTATCTTATTATGAACTTCTTTTTGATCAAGTGAATTGGAAAGTCACAGTTCCCATTATAAATCTTTAATATATTCATGTTTTGGCACTGACTTTGGCAAACATAATTGATATTTTGGTTTTGAAACATTATGAAGTATTGGCAATTTTTAAATTATTGGGTGACCATACATTAACCTCAACTATATTTTGTTATTGTTGTTGTTGTTTAAATTGTTTATTGAAGGACATCCTTCTTCTTCTTTTTTTTTTTTTTTTTTTGACGGAGTTTTGCTCTTCTTGCCCAGGCTGGAGTACAATGCCGCCATCTTGGCTCACCACAACACCAGCCCTCCAGGTTCAAGTGATTCTCCTGCCTCAGCCTCCCGAGCAGCTTGGATTACAGACATGCACCACCTTGCTCAGCTAATTTTGCATTTTTAGTAGAGACGGGGTTTCTCCATGTTGGTCAGACCAGTCTCGAACTCCTGACCTCCAGTGATCCGCCTGCCTTGGCCTCCCAAAGTGCTGGGATTACAGGCCTGAGACACCATGCCCAGCCAGGACATAACCATTTAATCTATTGTTGTTTGAGAACTATGCTGAACCTAAGGGATCTATTAAGTAAACTTGTGTCTGATCACAATTTTAACAATTTAATACAGTACATGAAGATATTTGCTTAATTTACTTTCTGCTATATTTTACAAAATAATATTGCAGAGTCACAGATACTGCTTCAAAGAGAGTATTTGGGACATGGAAAAAAAGTTATTGTGTGTCATATCTCAATGGTGGAATTGCTAAAAAACTTCATATAGCTGGTCTCGGGTTCTGCCTCACTCCCAGTACATGGCAATAGTTCCATCATCTCCCTTTTGTCATTCAGTAGGATTCTGCGATCCACAACAGAACTACATGGAAATGATAGTATTCCCTCAAGATGTTCAGTAATCGTTATTGTAATCTTTCCACAAGGTGATATAAAAAGAATTTAGGCACTTAAAATACAATCATTTATGCCAGGTGCAGTGGCTCACACCTGTAATCCCAGCACTTTGGAAGGCCGAGGTGGTCAAATCACAAGGTAAAGAGATCAAAACCAACCTGGTCAACATGTGAAACCCCATCTCTACAAAAAATACAAAAATTAACTGAGTGTGGTGGCAGGTGCCTGTAGTCTCAGCTACTCAGGAGGCTGAGGCAGGGAATCGCTTGAATCCAGGAGGTAGAGGTTGCAATGAGCTGAGATCAAACCACTTCACTTCAGCCTGGCAACAGAGGCTTCTGCCTCCAGAAACGTTTTATTTTATTTTATTATTTTCTGGAAGCAGAAGTCACGTTGGCTTTTAGCTAGCAATTCTTTGTAAGACTATTATCAGAGATAGATCTGATTTGTAAAATAACGTAAAACTGAGCATGCAAGTTATATTGAAATTTTTCTTTTTAATCTCATTTCCAGTTGTGCTAACATGAAACAAAATATTATGTTTCCTATATTATGTTTCCTATCTATAGATTTCAACTCTCTTACAATTCCTGATGTGGGCTTTATTGATGTTGGAACCAAATCACTATTAAAAGGTTTTTGAGGTAAAAGCAAAGAAAGTCATTGGAACAATAAAAATGTATTTTTTCCTTAGCTAGACAAATTCTGCTTATGAATAAAAATAAACCTGAAATGTACAAAAAGAAAGTGAAAGTAAAAGAACAGAACTACATCTGTGCATTGAATGGAGCTCAATTCATAACATTCACCTGTAAATATTTCTCTCTATTGTTGGAAAGGTCAACAGTTAACCATTACCTGCTTATGTCTGAATAGTTCTTGGATTTTTTCCTACTGTTTCCATTGAAGATCAGAGAGGAAATTAAATTTTCCTCTGTGCTCATTGCTAGTTGCCCTCGAGTTTGGCCTAAAGATTTCTATGATATTTCTATGATCGAGGAACAGCTAACAATTGCAACATGATGAAAGTCAAACTTTGACATATTTGTATCTTTTTTCAGGGTTTCTGGCCACCCTACTCTTAGGTACAACCTTGAAAGGCACTGTTTTTCACCTTAAGAATCCATGAAGGAAATTCTCTAACGATACAGAAATAGCTCACTTTTAACATTGCCAACCTCCAGGTCTATATTCAGATGTTTGTTTCCAGTGCAAATAATGTCTCACAATCTGTCAAAGCTCAGAGATAATTTTCTTTTATTTAGCAGCCAAATTTCTATTTTCAACACAGAATAGGACATTCTGATTTACTTATTAATAATAAATACATTGGATTACCACAGATGACCAGAAAGAGCCTGATAAACCCTCCACACAGAACAAAGCTATCTCTATGTTCCAGCAGATGGCCTATTATGACAACAATATTTTATTGATCTCCTCACATTGAATTTTGGACAATAAGTTTAAAAAAGGCCATTGTCATAAATTTTTTGTATGAATACTTTCTGCAGAGACAGGATGCAATCATATAGGCATCAAATAACATGTGCAAGAGAGCACAAGAGCTCTCTTCCCGCAGAAGCTGAACGCTGCTGTTCATTTTTATTGTTTGTTCTTTGTATTTTTATGTTCTACCATTAAAAGTCAAGCATGTGTCAAATATATATATATATATATATATTTTACCTAGCACAAATAATTTAAAGTAAATTACAGACACCAGAACAAATGATTAATATGCAAGATACGTCAAGAATACATTCCTTTGTCTCTACGAGATTCCATATATTTCTTCCACTGACTAGGTCAATTTTGCTAGGATGTCATTTTACTTTCCAGCTACTGTGCTCCAGAATCATGTTTCTTACAGCTGCGACCTATCCAACCTTAATTACCTCTCAAAAATGAATAGAGTATCAGCTATACAATGACATTATTTTTAATTTCATTTGAGAAAACATCAAATCTTTTTTATAGAAATTAGTGATATTATTGTTAGATTATTATGATTTTACCTCTTGCAATAAAAGCAAGCAAATATGAGAGAAGCAGCTCTATATAGGAATGCACTTACACATTTATTCCAGTTTATTCTGAAGTCATGGACATTTTATTGAGAC